ATATAGGAAATTAAAAGAGAAAAAATAAATAAAATGGTCAATAGAGGGGCTCCTGGGTGGCTCAGTCATTAAGCGGCTGCCTTTGGCTCAGGTCATGATCCCAGGGTCCTAGGATCGAGCCCCGCATCGGGCTACCTGCTCAGCAGGAGGCCTGCTTCTCCCTCTCTCTCTCTCCCTGCTTGTGTTCCCTCTCTTGCTATCTCTCTCTGTCAAAATAAATCTTCAAAAAAATAAAAACAAAATGGTCAACAGAGGAGCGCCTAGGTGGCTTAGTCGGTTAAGCAGCTGGCTCTTGATCTTAGCGCAGGTCTTGATCTCAGGGTCGTGAGTTTAAGCCCATGCGCTAAAAAATAAAAAAATAAATAAATAAAATGGTCAATAGATTTGAATAGACATTCACTAAAGAGCATACACAAATGGCTAATAAGCATACAAAAAGATGCTCAACAGCATTAGTCATTAGGAAAATGCAAAATAATATCACAATGAGATACCAGTACACACCAGCTAGAATTCATATATTCCAGAGGTTGACTGTACCAAGTATTAGTGAAGATGTGGAAAAATCAGAACCTCATACATTACTGGTGGGAATGTAAAATGGTACAACTACTTTGAAAAATATTTGGCTGTTTCTTAAAAAGTTAAACATATAGTTTACAATCCAGCATTTCTCTTAAGTGTCTATCCAAGAGAGCTGGAAACATGTGATCACCCAAAGACTTGTACCAAATCCTCATAGCAGCATTATTCATCATTCAGAATAAGGAAAGATGTCTTAAATAAAAAACAAAATGTACTAGTCATAAAGAAAATATTGATAAAGTCGACTACTTTATTTTTTTAAAGATTTTATTTGAGAGAGAGCATGAATGCACATGCGTGAGCACGGGGAGAGGGAGAAAGCTGAGCAGGGAGACGAGGGGGGGCTGAACTCCTTACTTGGCAAGCTGCTGAATAAGTGAATCTTTGAAAAAGAGGATTTGATTCTCAGTAAATGAAGCCAAAACCTAGGAACTCAAAACTAGTGGCCAGATAATAGATTGAAGATGTAGGTACTGGGTTAAATAGGGTGCTTGGAAATAGTTCTGTAACTGCAGACTTTTGTCCTGCAGATAAAGAATCCTGTGAACAGGCTTCTGAAGTCAGTGAAGCCCAAACTACAGATAGTGATGACGTAGTGACAGCGGCGTGTCTGAAATGTCCTAAGGCGGTAAGTACAGCGGGGTAATCATTGAGTGTGAGACAAGGTTGTAAATAATGACGTGTGCTTAACGGCCACAAAGGTGAAAACAATCCAGTTGTATTTTTTTTTTAAGATTTTATTTATTTATTTGAGAGCGAGAGAATGAGAGAGAGCACATGAGAGGGGGGAGGGTCAGAGGGAGAAGAAGCAGGGTCCCCGCTGAGCAAGGAGTCTGATGTGGGACTCGATCCCAGGTCTCTGGGATCATGACCCTAGCTGAAGGCAGATGCTCAACCCACTGAGCCACCAAGGGTTCCCAATAATCCAGTTTTAATGAACCCGATGGGAAATTGAAGGTATTTAGTTAAATTTACATTGTGAATGAATGGAAATGTCTTGATACAGTCTCTGATGAAAGGATCACTTTCTTGATTTGGTATAAAGGAGGACTTGCTTCAGTACTTCTCTCCTTTATTTGGATCCCTTGCCTGCCTCCTTCATTGTGTACTGTGATTCATCTCCAGCCTGAGTCATGCCCATTTCCTCAATCCACCTAAGGAGAGCAGGTTTACTTTCGGAGGTGGAGGCTAGAAAAGAGGAAAGGATTATTTGTGGGAAAGCTCAGAAAGATCATTCGGTTTCTGAAGTTTTTGACCTAAGCTTTATTTGTTTTTTTTAAGATTTTATTTGTTTATTTGACAGACAGAGACACAGCGAGAGAGGGAACACAAGCAGGGGGAGTGGGAGAGGGAGAAGCAGGCCTCCTGCTGAGCAGGGAACCTGATGCGAGGCTTGATCCCGGGACCCTGGGATCATGACCTGAGCCTAAGGCAGACGCTTAATGACTGAGCCACCCAGGCGCCCCTTGACCTAACCTTAAAACCTGAAATTGCTGGGGCGCCTGGGTGGCTTAGTTGGTGAAGTGTCTACCTTCAGCCCAGGTCATGATCCCAGGGTCCTGGGATCGAGTCCCACATCAGGCTCCCTGCTCAGAGGGGAGTCTGCTTCTCCCTCTGCCTCTGCTACCCCCACCCCCGCCCTCTGCTCGTGCTCTCTCTCTCAAATAAATAAATAAAATCTTTCTTTAAAAAATAATAAAATAAAACCTGAAATTGCAATTATTTATTAAATATTACAGCCTCAGATCTCTTGTGGAACTAACTGAGGATACATACACACAAATATATATATGACTAAATATCTGCAGATACATTTAACAGTCACTGTATTAGAATCTCGTGGGGTTATAAGTGAGGTAGGAAACAAATCTCTCTCTTGAGCCAATAGAATGCTCCCTGACACATTTGTAGGTGCTCAGTAAATATTTGTTGAATGAGTGCCTGAATGAAAGATTGAAATCTGATTGAGGATTATGAACTTCATTAGAAACATTATAAGTATAGTGTGTCCTAGAATCAAGTGGTTAAATTATGTGATAGAAACTCTTAAGATTTGTAAGAATTCAGAAGAGTGAAATTATTGCTGCTTTTGTAAGGTCAGAAAACTCTTCCTTGAAAGTGAGAACTTGTACTGAGGATTTGCTGGCAACTAAAGGATATTGGAGTAGGGAGAAACCACTCAAAATCAGTAGCCTTAAACAGTTAAGATAGCAAATACTTAAGTTATTTTCTTCTGAACTTTTATCTCTCGTATCTTTCTTTAGCCATTACATAGTATCTTGAGAAATGCTTATAAGATGGATCAGAGCCATAGGATGTTGGAATGGGACTATAAAACCTTAGAGATCATAAAGGAGAAGATTAACTAATGTGTACAGGATATAGAGCTAGTTAGCAGAAGAGCTGATCTCCAGTAAAAGTTTCTAAACCAAGCCACCTCTCAGATCAACCTGAAAAGCAGTCAGCTGGTCAGCAAGTTTTTGAACTACAAATCAGACATTACATTTAAAATATTATTCAGAATTAAAGGCTCCTAAATAAGATCTCTTTCTGGAAAACCTTTGTGGAAGGAAAGGAAGAAAGGAAGGAAAGGAAATATTATTCAGAATTAAAGGCTCCTAAATAAGATCTCTTTCTGGAAACCTTTGTGGAAGGAAGACACTTCACCAACTGGAAAACTGAGCTTACTGGGGTGCTTGGGTGGCTCAGTCGGTTAAGCATCTGACTCTTGGTTTCAGCTCAGGTCATGATCTCAGGGTCTTGAGATCGAACCCCGCATCAGGCTCTGCGCTCAGCATGGAGTCTACTTAAGATTCTCTCCCTTTCCCTCTGCCCCTCCCCTGCTTGCACTTGTTCTCTCTCACTCTCTTAAAAATAAAAAGAAAACTGAGCTTACTTAGCAAAAACTTAGTGTTATTATCAAATTGAATTCACAGCACAAACACGTATAGTTGACCTTTGAACAATGTGGGGGTTAGGGACATGACCCCCTGCATGGTTGAGAATCCACACATAACTTTTTTTTTTTTTTTTTTTTTTTTAGATTTTATTTATTTGACAGAGAGAGACACAAGCAGGGGGAGTGGGAGAGGGAGAAGCAGGCTTCCCACCGAGCAGGGAGCCTGATGCGGGGCTCGATCCCAGGACCCTGGGATCCTGACCTGAGCCGAAGGCAGATGCACAACCGACTGAGCCACCCAGGCGCCCCCCCCCTTTTTTTTTTGGCTTTCTTATGAATGACATTAAACGGTACATGTTTTTCTTTTTAAAAACTTCTTATTTTGAAATAATTATAGATTTGTAAACAGTTGCACAAAGATGTACAGGCAGATGCCAGGTACCATTCACATAGTTTTTTGCATTTTTTTTTCTTTTTTGGTACACACTATTCTGAAATGTGCATTTACCTTCAGTAACATTTTGGGAGTCCATCCAAGTTGATATAATTTAGCTTTTTCTAGTTCATTTCTCTTAACTGCTGATCATTATTTTGTTAAAATAATATGTGACCTTTTATTTAGACAGACCTCAGTGGGCGATGCTGATTGCACTTCTATGCTATGCACTTGATATTCATTAACTCACTAAAGCCTCACAGCAGCCCTGTGAGTTGTTAACTCCTTCAGTAATTATGGAGTACCTGTCTTAGTATTTGCCAGGCTCTGTGGACACAAAATGGTGAAAAAGGCAGACCTGGTTCCTTTTGTCTTGAATCCTACATTCTCCTGAGGGAAAACAGATATAAGTCAGAAAATAAATAAGATTATTTGTTGACTTTAAATACTATGAAGAAAATAATTTGAGGAGCGCCTCGGTGGCTCAGTCAGTTAAGTGTCTGCCTTTGGCTCAGGTCATGATCCCAGGGTCCTGCTCCGCGGGGAGCCTGCTTCTCCCTCAGCCCCTCCACCCGCTTGTGTGCTCGCGCACTCTCTCTCTCTCTCCCTCTCTCTAGCTCTCTCGCTCTATCTCAAAATCTTAAAAAAAAAAAAAAAGAATTTGAATAATAGTAATGGGAGGGGTTGAGGCACCTGGCTGGCTCAGTTGGTAGAGTGTGCCACTCTTGATCTTGGGGTTGTGAGTTTGATCCCCACGTTGGGTGTAGAGATGACTTAAAAGTAAAATCTTAAAAAGAAAAAAAGATAGTAATGGTAGGGATTGAGTTAGGTAAGGTATAAGGAAATACTTCTCTGAGGAGGGGACTTAATTAAACTGAAATTTGAAGTGTGAGAAGGTAAGAGATGGAGGGAAATTGTCTCAGACAGAGGAACTGGCAAACGGAAAGACCCTGGTGTAGAAGAGGTTTGGTTTATCTGAGGTACTGGAGATCAAGAGATGGTTATAAACCAATAAAACTGGGGGGCAAAAAAAAAAAAGAAGAAGAAGAAAGAAGAAGGAAAGGAAGGAAAGAAAGGAAGAAAGAATAAAATTGCGTAGCCAGACTTTGTAAATGAGCCCTAACAGGAAGAAATGTTTGATGACCACACCTCGTCACTTTTGTTATTGTACAACCAGGTAACTACAATAAAACTGGGAAAAGAGAAAAAAAAAAATGTCACAGTGAACATCTCTGTTCACATGTATCTTTGTGTATTTGGCAAATGTTTTTGTGGAATAGATTCCTAGAAGTGAAACTGCTGGTTTTAAAAGGAATGTGCACTTGAACTTTTGATGGATACCTCCAAATGATCAGCCCCTAAATGATACCACTGTTACCCTATGGTGGCCTTTTCCCCCCAGAATTCTCAGTTCCTGACTTTAATGGAATGAGAGTGTCTGTAAGGGAAGGAATCAAAAGTAATTTGGAAAAATTTAGATCCAGGTGGCATGGAGAGGTAATGAAGCACCTGAGGGGTACGTTAGATGCTGGGACTATGGGGGCTGGTGAGGCCGACTTGTGGTCCTAGAACACAGGGAGCTGACAGCCTGGGAGGTGCTGTCCCAGAAGTAAAATGTGACACAAAGTAATTTAAAATTTCCTAGTGTCCACATGAAAAGTGTGAAAAGAAACAAGTAAATTTTAATAATATATTTTATTTAACCTAGTATATCCAAGGTATTATCATTTCAATATGAAATCAATATAAACAATTATTGAGACACCTTACATTTGTTTTTTTCCTGCAAGGTCTCCAAAATCCTGTGAATTTTACGCTGGCCGCTCCTGATTCAGATTAGTTACATTTCAAGTGCTCAGTAGCCACATGTGGCTAATGGCTATTTGTCATAGAGCATAACTGGGGTGCCATATTTTCCAGCTGCAAGTTGACATCCCTAGACAATGAAATCAAAACAGGGGGCCCCAGCCAGCACTTTTGAAAAACAAACAAAAAACTGAGAAAAAATAAAATACAAAATAATAATTTGCATCACACCTATTAAGGTTAAAAATTGTTTAAGGAGACTTTTATTTCAGTGATTTCTTTTTATACACACATATAAATATGCATAGGCCAAGTTTTATAGTTTGAAACCCACTGGTCTGGTGGCTGTTCATTTTTAACTATGGGAAAAAAAAAATGTTCATCCTCATTAAGCATAGGAGGCTTTTTTTTTTTTGGTAAGATGTTGCTGGGGATCATTCAGGTACTTATATAGCTATGAACACTTTTCTTTTTTTCCCAGACCTCAGTGTTTCCTAAAGTGTGTTCTTTGGAAAATTAAGCCCAGCCATGTCCAGGAAAAAAACAAAAGTGATTGTATAGTCAAATATGTTTGGAAAAAACTACCTTTGTATCATCCTCTAAAAGTGTCCTGATGCATATTAACATATTAAAGGCTGTAAGTCCAGTTAGAGAAAGCTGATAACTTTGTTAATCTTAATTTTCCAAAATGCATTTTTTTAAAGATTTATTGATTTATTTTCAAGAGAAAGAGCGAGTGGGAGGAGGGGCAAAGGGAGAGGGAGAGAATCTCAAGCACACTCAGTCCCTGCTAGCAGGGAGCCCGATGCAGGGCTCCATCCTGTGACCCTAAGATCATGACCTGAGCCAAAACCAAGAGTCAGACACTGAACCCACTGAGCCACCCAGCTTCCCCTCCAAAATGTATTTGATCACAGAACCACTCATTTGTAAAACACCTATTCCTCAGACACCTTTGAGAAGTTCTGCTTCATTTTTATGAAACTATAGGGCATAGGGGTCTCAGCTTAAAAATAATTGCAACAGGGGCATCTGAGTGGCTCAGTCAGTTAACCATCTTCAGGCTCTGTGCTCAGCATAGAATCTGCCTGAGATTTTCTCTCCCCCTCTCCCTCTGCTCTTCCTCCTGCTCACACACACTCTCTCTAAAATAAATAAATACATAAAATCTTTTTAAAAATTATAAAAAAATTACAACAGTGGCATTAGAGAACTTTCTAGGGTGACGGTTCTGTATCTTGAATGGGAAGTTGATTACACACTTGTATATATTTGTCAAAAGTGTACATGTTAGGTTTTGTATTTTACTGTGTGTAAATTACATACATAAATGTTTAGAAGTTAAACAGAGGGGCACCTGAGTAGCTCAGTCAGTTAAGCGTCTGCCTTCGGCTCAGGTCATGATCCAGGGTCCTGGGATTGAGCCCCACGTTGGGCTCCCTGCTCAGTGGGGAGCCTGCTTCTCCCTCTCCCTCTGCCTCTACTCCCCCTCGCCTGCTGCTCGTGCACTCACGCACTCTATCCCAAATAAACTCTTTTAAAAAATTAAAAAATAAAAGTTAAACAGATTGTCGGGAGCCACCCTAGGCAGTGTGATTTAAGAGTGGCTGTTATGCTTTCTTAATGACAGTCACTGTAAGAAATACATTTCTACATTGTGCCCAGTACAATCATATATAAACAAGAGCTTTAAGAAACAGGGCTTACCATTTACCATGAACTCTCATATTTTCTGTTCTATTCCATTCCATTCTGTCCTAGCCTATCTTACTCTTTTATTTAAAAAAAAAATACTAGTGAAACCCACAACCCACCTAGCTGACCCGTAAGTGTCAAAACCCACATTTTGGAAAACGTAATAGTTTTCATGGTGGAGACTGTAGGAGGGTTTGTGAGGGCTGTTGAGAGGGCAGCATCAAGTAGCTTTATTTTCAAGAGTCACCCAGGTTGTTCTGAGGTAGATTTGTTGAGAAATACTGCCTCTGGCTTCCTAGGAGAAGGCCTAGGAGCTCCACCTGCTTCCTAAGAGAAGCAAAGATGGGGGTGGGGGTGGATCTTGGGAGAAGTGAGGGCCTTGGCCTGGCAGCCTAGAGCACGGGAGAGTCCCCCCCAGGTGACAAGGGAGAACCATGGCTGGTTGGGGCCGTCCCAGACTGACCCCTTACTCGTGTCGGGACAGGACTTGCTGCCACACTGTGGAAGGGGAGGACTTCACATGGCCCTCAGCTGCTGTCTGGAAACTCGAGAGATGTCAGCCCTCCCCCTGGTGTCCCTAATGCAAAAATGGACGCAGGGACGGTCCAGAGAGAGGACAGTGGCCGTGGCGGCAACTCTGAGGCGGGGCTGGAAGGACAGGCGTTGCTGTGAAGGGCCAGGCTGCCCGGGCGGCCTGCTCTACGGCAGGCACTTTGTGGGCGCAGGAAGCTCTGGGCAGCGGCTTTACCGCTAAACTGATTCTCAAGGATGTGTGAGGTAGGGGCAACCTCGAGGGTCCCCTCCCTCTTCGGGAGCTTGGTGCTGTCGGCTGTCGCTCAGTAAACTTTGCTGCCCACCAAAAGTTTTTCAAGGGTATGTGAGATGGAATATGGCTACAACCGATGTCTGAGGGAGTCATGTGTTCATTAGATGGAGTAGAAACACTTGGAGCATCGCTAACCTATAGGAGATAAATAAGTATTTTCCTTGTCAGGGTTCAGAGAAGATGTGCATTGAAATTGTCTCCCTGGCCTTCTACCCAGAGGCTGAAGTGATGTGTGATGAGAATGTCAAGCAGGTGTATGTAGAGTACAAGTTCTATGATGTACCTTTGTCAGAGACGGAGACCCCAGTGTCCCTGAGGAAACCAAGGGCGGGAGAAGAGATCCACTTCCACTTCAGCAAAGGTGAGGCATCCCTTGTGCTTGGCTGCAAGAGTGGTCCGAGGGGTCAGAACTGCCCTGCACTTCCAATGGGGTGGATGCAACCATGTTATATATCAAAGTGATAGATGCATATGGTTTTATTTATGTTTTTTATTTTTTATTATTTCAATTAAGTTTTTATTTTAATTCCAGTGTAGTTAACATACAGTGTTATATTAGTTTGAGGTGTACAACATAGTGCTTCGACAACTGTATACATTATTCAGTGTTCATCATGATGAGCATACTCTTAATCCCCATCACCTATTTCCCCCATCCTCCCCGCCCACCTCCCCTCCAGTAACCCTCTGTTCTCTATACTTAAGAGCGATTTTTTGGTTTGTCTCTTCTTTTTCCTTTGTTCATTTGTTTTGTTTCTTAAATTCCACATATAGGTGAAGTCATATGGTATTTGTCTTTCTCTGACTTATTTCGCTTAGTCTTATACTCTCTAGATCCATCCACAGTGGCTGCACCAGTTGCGTTCCCACCAACAAGGCAAGAGGGTTCCTTTTTCTCCACATCCTCGCCAACACTTGTTGTTTCTTGTTCTTGTTCTTTAACCATTCTGACAGGTATGAGGTGATATCTCACTGTGGTTTTGATTTGCATTGCATAATGCAAATGATGCGTATAGTATGCATGTGCATTGCATAATGAGTGATTTTGAGCATCTTTTCATGTGTCTGTTGGCCATCTGTATGTCTACTCTGGAGAATGTTCATGTTTTTGCCCCATTTTTTAATTAGGTTATTTGTTTTTTGAATGTTGAGTTGTATCAGTTCTTTATGTATTTTGGATACTAACCCTGTACCAGGTATGTCATTTGCAAATATCATCTTCCATTCAGTAGGTTGCCTTGTAGTTTTGTTGATTATTTCCTTCACTGTGCAGAAGCTTCTTATTTTGATGTAGTTCCAATAATCTATTTTTGCTTTTATTTCACTTGCTTTAGGAGACATATCTAGAAAGAAGTTGCTATGGCTGATGTCCGAGAAATTACTGCCTGTGCTCTCTTCTAGGATTTTTATAGTTTCAGGTCTCGCATTTAAGTCCTTAATCCATTTTTTTTAAGATTTTATTTATTTATTTGAGAGAGAGAATGAGATAGAGCATGAGATGGGAGGGTCAGAGGGAGAAGCAGACTCCCTGCTGAGCAGGGGACACCCCCCCCCGATGCGGAACTCGATCCCGGGACTCCAGGATCATGACCTGAGCCGAAGGCAGTCGCTTAACCAACTGAGCCACCCAGGCGCCCAAGTCCTTAATCCATTTTGAGTTTATTTTTGTGTATGATGTAAGAAAGTGGTCCAGATTCATTCTTTTGCATGTAGCTGTCCTGTTTTCCCAACTCCGTTTGTTGAAGAGACTTTTTCCCGTTGCATGTTTTTGCCTCCTTTATCAAAAATTAATTGGCCATATAATCGTGGGTTTGTTTCTGGGTTTTCTGTTCTGTTCAATTGATCTATGTGTCTGTTTTTGTGCCAGTAAAAATACTGTTTTCATTACTACAGCTTTGTGGTATATCTTGAAATATGGGAGATGGTGATACTTCCAGCTTTGTTTTTCTTTTTCAAGATCGTTTTGCCAATTTGGGGTCTTTTGTGGTTCCATACAAATTTTAGGAATATTTGTTCTAGTTCTGTGAAGAATGCTGTAGGTATTTTGGTAAGAATTACATTAAATCTGTAGATTGCTTTGGTTAGCATAGACATTTTAATATTTGTTCTTCCAATCAATGAGCACAGATTATCTTTCCATTTGTGTCATCTTCAGTTTCTTTCATTGTTGTTTTATAGTTTTCAGAGTATAGGTTTTCACCTCCTTGGTTAAGTTTATTCCTAAGTATTTTATTAATTTTGGTGCAATTGTAAATGGGATTGCTTTCTTAATTTCTTTTTCTGTTGGTTCATTATTAGCGTATAGAAATGCAATGAGGGGTGCCTGGGTGGCTCAGTCAGTTAAGTGTCTGACTCTTAATCTCAGCTCAGGTCTTGATCTCAGGGTTGTGAGTTCAAGCCTAGTGTGGAGCCAACCTAATAAAAATAAAAAAATAGTAACAATAATAATAAAGAAATGCAACAGATTTTGGTATATTGATTTTGTATCCTGTGACCTTACTGAATTCATTTATCAGTTCTAATAGTTTTTTGATGGAGTGTTTAGGGTTTTCTATATATAGTATGTCATCTACAAATAGTGAAAGTTTTACTTCTTCCTTACCAATTTGGATGCTTTTTATTCCTTTTTCTTATCTGATTGCTGTGGCTAGGACTTCCAGTACTGTGTTGAATAAAAGTGGTGAGAGTGAATATCCTTGTCTTATTCCTGGTCTTAGGGGGAAAGCTCTCAGTTTTTCACCATTGAATATGATGTTAGCTGTGGGTTTTTCACATATGGCCTTTATTATGTTGAAGAATGTTCCCCTTAAACCTACTTTGTTGAGGGGTTTTATCATGAATGGGTATTGTACTTTGTCAAATGCTTTTTCTCCATTTATTGAAATGATCTCTTATTGATATGATGTATCACATTGATTTATAAATATTGAAACACCCTTGTAGCCTGGGAATAAATCCCACTTGATCATGATGATTTTTTTAATGTATTGTTGAATTTGGTTTGCTAATATTTTGTTGAGGATTTTTGCATCTTTGTTCATTACAGATACTGCCTTGTAGTTCTCTTTTTTTGTAGTGTCTTTATCTGGTTTTGAATTTTGATGTTTTCCTGCCTCTTCTATTTTTTGGAATAGTCTGAGAAGAATAGGTATTAATGCTTCTTTAAATGTTTGGTAGAATTCCCCTGTGAAGCCGTCTGGTCCTGGACTTTGGGAGTTTTTTTGTTACTGATTCAATTTCATTTCTGGTAATCGGTCTATTCAAATTTTCTACTTCTTCCTGAATCAGTTTTGGGAGGTTATATGTTTCTAGGAATTTGTCCATTTCTTCTAGGTTGTCCAATTTGTTGGCATATAATTTTTCGTAATAATCTCTCACAATCCTTTGTATTTCTGTGGTGTCGGTTGGTTTTTCTCCTCTTTCATTTCTGATTTTATTTGAGCCCCCCCCTTTGATGAGTCTAGTTAAAGGTTTATCAATTTTGTTCATCTTTTCAAAGAACCAGCTCCTGGTTTTATTGATCTGTCCTATTGGTTTTTAAAGTTTCTCTTTCTTTAATTTCTGCTCTGATCTTTATTATTTCCTTCCTTGTACTGGTTTGAGTTTTGTTTATTCTTTTTTTAGTTCCTTTAGGTATAATGTTAGGTTGTTGGTTTTTTTGTTTTTTAATTTTTCTTGCTTCTTGAGTTAGGCTTGTATTCTTATAAACTTCCCTCTTAGAACAGCCTTTGCTGCATCCCAAAGGTTTTGGACCATTGTATTTTCATTTGTCCCCATGTATTTTTTTTTTATTTCCTCTTTGATTTCTGGGTTGACCCATTCATCGTTTAGTAGCATGTTATTTAACTTCCATGTATTTGTGCTCTCTTCAGATTTTTTCTTGTGGTTGATTTCTAGTTTCATAGCATGTGATCAGAAAAGATACATGGTGGGGCACCTGGGTGGCACAATTGGTTGGGCGTCCAACTCTTGGTTTCAGCTCAGGTCATGATCTTGGAGTCGTGGGATCAAGCCCTGAGTTGGGCTCTGCACTCAGTGTGGAGTTTGCTTGGGTTTCTCTCTTCCTCTCCCTCTACCCCTCCCACTTGTGCACTCTCTCTCTCTAAAATAAATAAATCTTTTAAAAAAAGAAAACTGAGCCTGGGTGGCTCAGTTGGTTAAGCGACTGTCTTCAGCTCAGGTCATGATCCTGGAGTCCCGGGATCGAGTCCCACGTCGGGCTCCCTCCTCAGCAGGGAGTCTGCTTCTTCCTCTGACCCTCCCCCTCTCATGCTCTCTCTCTCTCTCTCTGATTCTCTCTCTTTCAAATAAATAAATAAATAAAATCTTTTAAAAAAAAAGAAAAAAAGAAAAGATACATGGTATGACTGATATTTTTGAATTTGTTGAGACTTGTTTTGTGGCCTAATATGTGATCTATTCTGGAGACTGTTCCATGTGCACTTGAAAAGAATGTGTATTCTGCTGTTTGGGGATGGAATGTTCTGAATGTATCTGTTAAATCCATCTGGTCCAATGTGTCATTCAAAGCCACTGTTTCCTTGTTGATTTTCTGTTTGGATGATCTGTCCATTGATGTAAGTGGGGTTATGCATATGGTTTTAAAATATCAAATAGGCCTAGAAAGATTTTTAATTAAAATTGAGCAGTCCCGTTTTCCATCCCTTTTCCACAAATCACTCTCTGTCATCCTCCCCATTCTCCTCAGTCCACCACACCCCTTTTCACTTTTTCTGCTATTTCTTGTTATTTAACTCCATGTTTCTGAGTAATGTTTCTGTTGCAATTTCCTGACTCACCAATTTTAGATATTACCTGCTGACTTCCTATCGTGACACATAAAATTTATTTCTCTTACACTATACCCATTTTCTCTTCCTCCCATAGAGTTTGATCATAACTTTCATTTAATCCAATCTTAATTGTTTCTATTATTATGGATATGTAAATATTAATTCTTCAGAACCAAGTAGTATGCCGTGGTTATAATCCTTTATTATTTTGTTTGTCTCAATTTTTCGCTTGCTGTATCTTCATTATGCCCATTGTAATTCTTTTCACATCCTCCAACAGCCTTTCCAAGTTTTCAAATAATCCAAACCTGTCAAAAAATATATCAATTTTTTGTCCTTGAAGACCTTTCTTCAGCCCACCATTCAGCTATTATCCATACTGCTGCAATTTGGAGAATTTGATTTAATTCTCTCCTATACTGGATTTCTTGTCTCCTGGGTTCTCTGTCATCCTCTGATTCACTTTGATATTTTAATGGGTCATATTTTCCAGTAGCTTTTAAAGAAAGAGTACATTGGAAGGAAACATTTTGAGACCATCATGCATGAAGTCTCTTTATTCTACCCATATATTCAATTGATAATTAGACCAAGTATAGAAATCTATTTTGAAAACATTCTTATTCAGAATTTTGAAGCAGTTGGTCCATGGTCTTCGCCAAGAGTCTAACCTTTATATGAAAACTACTTCTACCTGTCCAGAAGACTTGAACATTTTATCTTTCTCTTCAGTGTTCTTAAATTTCAGGATAATGTGTATATTTTTCCTGTAATTGTTCTAGCCATCCAGGGGGCTCTTTCAATCTGGAAGCTTATGGCTTTTAGTTCTGGGAAATTTTATTGCATTTCTTTGATAATTTTGTCCCCAGGATTTTCTCATTTTCTTAGTAGAGCTTTTGATCTTCCAAATTGATCCTCTAATTTTCTCATTTTCTTCCTATAATCCTACCTCTGCTTTTTCTTTCTATTTGGGGGAAATTTCCTTAGTTTTTTTTAAGATTTTATTTTTAAGTATGGCTCAGTCAGTTAAGCATCTGACTTGATTTCGGCTGAGGATATGATCTCAGGGTCATGAGATTGAGCTCCCCATCAGGCTCCACACTGGGCATGGAGCCTGCTTAAGATTCTCTCTCTCTCTCCTTCTGCCCCTTCCCCCATTCCCTCTCTAAATAAAAAAAAAATAAAGATTTTATTTTTAAGTAATCGCTGCATCCAATGTGGGGCTCAAACATACAACCCCAAGATCAAGAGTTGCATGCTCTACCAACTGAGCCAGCCAGGTGCCCCCTCAAATTTCCTTAATTTTATCTTCCAGTCATTGAAAATTTATCTTAAATTTCTAAGAACTGTTTGTTGTTGTCTGTTCCTCCTTTTTTTTTTTTTTCCCTTAAGTATATCCTTTCCTTATATGAGGTAGAAGTTTATTTCTTACCTGTATAAAATGAATTCTGAGGGGGGCAGTCCAGGACTGAGGATATGTGATTCTGTCAGGATCCAAACTCCTATCCTGCCTTCTTATCAACCTAGTGCCTGTCTTCCATCCTTTTGGTGACCCTGTCACCCTTAATGGCTGCCAGGGAAAGGAAGGATGCCTCCCAGTTGAGCCTGTTAAGCATGTTTCACATAACACAATAGCCAGAATTTAATCGTGCAGCCAAACCCAGCTAAAATAGAGGCTGGAAAACATAAGCTAATGTATTTGAGGCTGCAGCATTCCCATATAGAAATGAGGAGGAAGGGGAGGGCGGGTGTTGAGAGAGGCACCTTGAGTTGAACCTGCTGCAAAACTCAAACTCAGTCTCCTGGGGTTCTTCCAGCTGTAGAGTGGTGGAAGCACATTCATCTTGGCACAATGGCAGAACAGCATTCAGTGCAGATCCTAAGGCTTCCTTTTCATCAGGGTCGACAAACTTTTTCTTAAAGGGCCAGGTAGTAAATATTTTAGGCTTTGTGGACCAAATGGTCTCTGTCACAGCTATTCAACTCTGTCACTGTAGTTGGAAAGCAACCATAGATAATATGTGAACAAATAGGCATTGGCTGTATTCAGTAAAAACTTTATTTACCAAAACAGGTGGCCCACCCATGAGCCCTAGCTTGCCAACCTCTCTTTTCTATCATGGTTTTACCTATACCACTTATGAAAGTCTTAGTGCCCAAATAGTAACAGCGTATGATTCTTTGCTTTTCTCCTCTCTTATCCTTAATACAGTGATAGACCTGGACCCACTGGAACAAAAAGGCCGAAGGCAGTTTCTGTTTGCCATGCTGAACAGACAAGATCCTGAGCAAGGACGGTAAGCATCTTTCCACTTTGAAAGAAGGGAGATATCATCCACACAGGAGTTCAGGAGTTTAAGTTTGGTTTTGTGCTGATACTGAATATTCGAACAACTTCTTTCATATTAATTTACTGAATGGATTTCTCATCTGAGTCTGATTCATTTTTACAACTACCTGATAAACTGTATGAATCTCATCGGTGTAGTTCATCTCTCACCCATGCCAGCCCCCTGATAAGCACTATTTTTGTGGCAGCAAGTACTTGAATACTAACAGTGCTCTGTGAGGAATGGAAAAAACCCTTTGACATTCCCAGATAATTTATTTCCCACAAACACAGTACCATTGCTAGCTTACCAAATATTATGTCTTTATAATATTAATTTCATATTTAGTTGTTGTTGTTTTTTAAGTGGGCTCCACACCCAGCATGGAGCCCAGTGTGGGGCTTAAACTCATGACCCAGAGATCAAGCCCTGAGCTGAGATCAAGTGTCGGATGCTTCATCGACTGAGCCACCCAGACACCCCTCATATTTAGATTTTTAAAATTATTTCTCTACAGGATTACTTTGACTTTGATATAACTGAAATAAATTCTAGGCATACTATCAATTTTAGGAAAGTGTCCTTGTTATTCCTCTAATCTGAAGAGGCCTCCATTTAGAAGTTCCCGATGAAATGCACAGGACATAAGTTATACTAAGAAAATTATTCGTTGTTTAGCTAAAATTTGAAATTCAAATTTAAGTGGGCATCTGTTTGGGTTTTTTTTGTTTTTGGCAAGATCTAGCAATGTTGCCTCCTTTTCAAGTGTGTGGGTAAGAAATAATACAGGGCTGGTGTTTAATTTGCATTTACTTTGTCTCCAGTCAGTCATAGAAAGGACTGAAAAAGGAGCCACTGAAATAAACAGTGAATCTGACTCTGGTATCACTGTGCACTTAAACAGAAGCTGACTGGTAACTTTTGGGAATGGAAAGCGTTTGGTTGTTTCCCTTCTGCATCAATGTTAAATTTATTTTCTTTTCTTCTCGCAGCATTCCTAGAATACGCTCTTCCTTTATTCCCTTACAGTGGTAGCTTTTTTTTTCTTTTTGTAACCTCCTATTCAATTTTAGATTTTGATTGATTTTACCTGTTTGCCAGTGTCGTACAGTGGACAGAACATTGGCTTTGTAATCAGAGAGGCCTGGTTTTGAATCCTGACTCTTCCACTTACTAGCTCTGTGATCTTTGAATATTACTTAACTTGAAGGCTTGTGTGAGGATACAACTGAAATAATGTAGTTTATCTAAAGCATCTGGGAGGCGCCTGGGTGGCTCAGTTAGGCATCTGACACTTGGTCTCAACTCAGGTCTTGATCTCAGGGTTGTGAATGAATGGATGGATGGATGGATGAATGAATGGATGAATGAATGCCCTGTACCTAGAAAGGGGAAACTTGGGGTCAGGGAGTCAGCATTATCCCTTTGTATTGTTGAAGTTCTCAGTAAGGATACAGAAGCATCATCACAAATGAATATCGCCTCATGAGCTAACAATGTATCACTTTCAGAATTTCTTTTTAGCTTAATCTTGCTTAGCTGTGATTTTAAAAGCTTGAATTTTTAGTCCTATTCTTGCTCCCTTACCACTATTTGCCACCAGTATTTGCTTTTAAAAAATTAATAGGGATACAGAATGTCCAGAATAGGCAAACCCAGAGAGACAGTCGATTGGTGGTCTCCCGGAGCTGAGGGGAGAACGGGAAGTGGCTGCGTGATGGCCGTAGGATTTCTTCTTGGGGCAATGAGCATGGCCTGGAATTACTGGTGATGGTTGGGCAACACTGATTTTACTAAAACACACTGAATTTTACACTTTAAAATGGTTAAGATAGTGAATTTATGTGTGAATGTTATCTCCAAAAATCAAGTAGGTACTAGTTTCTAGAATTCCTTCTTTGCGGGGCCGAGTCAGAATGATGAGTGCCGGTTGACTACTGGCCGCTTGCTCTCTGGTGCCCTGTCTCCAGACTTACAACTCAAAGGGATACACTTCTTATACATTTTGCAATTCTCTGTTCCTTCTGTTTTCCTTTGCTCCAGCTTGATACCCAACTTTTATTTAGAAATCTAAGAACTCTTCTAATTTCCTGTAATCTTGGTTTTTGTGCAAACACCTTCACTGTCAATGACAAATCTTTCATCAGAGTTGTAAGCTCTCTTACAAGGCAACCTATCTGAACAGTCTTTTGTGGGGTTTTTGTTTGTTTTAAAGATTTTATTTATTTGTCAGAGAGAGAGCGCACAAGCAGGGGGAGCGGCAGACAGAGGGAGAAGAAGACTCCCTGCTGAGCAGGGAGCCCGATGCGGGGCTCGATCCCAGGACCCTGGGACCACGAACTGAGCCGAAGGCAGATGCTTAACTGACTGAGCCACCCAGGCACCCGTCTGAACAGTTCTGAGACAACTTGATCAACTACATCATCTTGAGTCTTAGCTCCCTCTTCTCCAGGCCTATCATTACTTTAAAATACACCAATTCCTTACTCTTTCGCCATTATAATTGTGTAAAGTGGAGGCAAGGGAGAAGTGATTCAGGGAAAACGCTGTGTTATGTATGATTACTTTTACCTCATATATGTATTTTAAGCCTTACAGTATCAGCAGTACTGAGTTAAATGGAATTTTTCCTTTAGTTTAAAGTTTACAGTGGTAAGTGATCCTATGGACGACGAAAATAAAGAATGTCAAGAAGTAGGATACGCATTTCTGGAACTGTGGCAGCTCATGGAATCGGGAGGAGATGGTGTAGAGCAAGAGCTAGACAGTGAGTAATAAATGTTCATGCTTCTCAGTTTCACTTACTTCTAAGGAAATCAGCCAAATCACGAATACTCCTGTTTTACCTTCAGTATATAATTACCACTATGAAGTTGATGATGTAAATTGGATCAAAATCCCTACAGCTGTATTTCTTTCTAGATCGAGCATGAGAGTAGTCAGTTGTATATTTTAGTCCATGTACCCCGTGACAACTGGAATACAATCTTTTATGAATCTCCAGGGTTTGAAATCAGGGAATTTTGAAAAGACCAATTCTTTTAATTTCAGTCAGATTTAAAGATCAGAATTCCTGATTTCTCTTAAGCATATAAGGTTTGTAAAGGCAGCAAACACCCTCCTCTTGTCATACAGTCTCTTCCACAGACACCCACTCACCTGCTCCCTCACCCCTCATGGTGTTTGTTACCGAGGTTTTTGGGGTGGGTTTTTTTTTGGTTACCAAACCTTAACCATCCTGCTTCAGAAGTGTCTGGACTGTATCCCCACTTCCACCGCATTTCCATCTGCTACAGTGTTTCTTTACAAAAAATTTGATCACCATTCTTCTTAAATCCATTTTTAACATTGTTCGCTGCAAGACTGGCGTGCTTCAAAAGTATCTGCCTCTGAAGGGCCCTGTCCTGTCCAGTCCGCACTGCTCTTACCCTGCGCGCCTGGGGTTTCACATTGACCTTATCTGCGAGGCTGTAGTAGGCCCCAAAGATTACCCGCTGGACCGGTGGTTTTCAAACCGCCAGTCTTAACCAACCAACCAATGGGTGGTGAAATGAAATTAGTAAGTCATGACCAGAACTGGGAACTATAGTAAATATCAGAGTGCTCTGCACATAGATTATTTTGTGACACTTTCTTATGTACCTGTGTACTGAGACATGATATAAAATTACAGTAAGATTTGAGGAATACTCTTCAGACCAGGGGCTACAGAGTTCAAACTAGCTGGTAGACAAGAGTCTTCATTTTATTCCTCTAGTACCTTTCCAGCTGAGGTACTGGGCAAGTTGTGTAACCTCTCCATGCCAGTTTTCTCAACTGCAAGGTGAGAAGAACAGCAGTTGCTCCGTAGGCATGTCCCGAGGACCGAGGGAAGGTTTAAGTGGAGGCTTGCGGAGGGAGAGGAGTGTTTAGGAGGGCGGTGGCTCGCTGGCTCGGGTCTGTCACCTGTTTTCCGGCTCGCACTCCCAAGTGCGATTCCCGTCCCCATTCCCTAGACATGCTGTGCTCTTCCTGGCTTCTGGGCCTTTGTACAGAAGGAACAGCCCCTGAAGCCTTTTCTAGTTGTGACCTTAGCATTTCTAAAGCCAATGAATACGTCTCAATTATTTTGATTTTTTTAATCATCAAAAGAAAAATTTATAGTAATGTCTTTATTACGGTTGCCCTTCCTTCCACTCAGACTTTAATCGTGTTGGTCTGATTTGAAAAACAAAACACTGCTTTCCAGCCCTGCAGCTCCCTTCTCTCTTCGCACTTTCAAACTCAGGCTCCTGGGAACACCCGCTGAATGGGCAGTCAGAGCCATAGTGCTCCGGCACCGCCTGCACGGTTGAGATCATGTTTTCATCCAGACGCTTTATTGACTCTGTTCTTACCGGTTTCCTAATTGTCCAACCCAGTGAGTTTCCTTATTCATCCTACTTGACCTTTCTGATCTCTAATATCATTGCTCATTCTCCTTTTTGAACGCCGTTCTCCCCTTTTTACACCATTTGACTTTCCAGATCACTCTGTGGGGGATCCTTCTGTTTCTTTACAGCGTCTTCTCCCCCAGTTTGAACGTTGGGGTTCTCCTGGTTCAGTTCTTGGCCTCTTTTTTTCTCTCCATCTACCCTCTTCCTGGGTGTTTGCATTCACTCCCAGGGTTTTAATTATAATCTAAAAATTATCTCAAATCTAGGTTTCCAGTCCAGATTTTTAATAAAATCTAGACTTACAGTAGACCAGTAGACCAATAGTCACTACTTCTATGTCCCCTTAGTACTTAAAACTTGACTAGCCACCATCCAGTTATCCAAATTAGAATGGTCATCCTTGATTTCAGCCTACTCCTCACTCCCAACATTTAATCACATTTTTAGCTCTCAGATGTTCTGAATCTGTCCTTCTCTCCCCATCCCATTATACTTCAGACCTTTCTCTCCTGAATTACTGCAACAGCCTCATAACTACCCTCCCTGATCTACTCATGCCCCCAATTATATTCTCCAAATAATGGCCATTTTTCTAGACCCCAAATAAAAATCACCACTTTCATACTTCGGTTAAAACCAGATCCCTTAGAAGACAAACAAGGCCCTTTATGATCTGGCCCCGGCCTATCTGTACAGATTCACTTTTTTTTTTTTTTTCTTTAAGATTTATTTAGAACATCTTAAAAACTTAGCTCAGGGATTGTCTCCAGAAAGCCTTTTCCAATTCCTCCATCCTGGCTTAGGTGCCGCTTCTACGTGTTCCCAAAGCACCCGGAGTTTTCATCAGAGCACCTCGCATACTGTACTGACTGTGCTCTCCCTTCTTTTCCGCTAGACTGAGCCCCGAAGAAATGAGGCAGTGACCTGTGGTGTCCCCATCCCCTCACACGGCACCTGGCAGTTGTTTAAGTGTTTCCTAATTGAACAGTACTGCCGCCTGACCTGTTTGCCTTTCGTCTCCCGACAGTTGTCAGCCCTGAAGATCAGGCCACCCAAATAGGAAGGCTGAAGGTGTCCCTTCAAGCTGCTGCCGCCCTCCATGCTGTTTACAAGGAGATGACAGAAGATACGTTTTCTTGATGGAGCAAGTAGTATTCCATTCTAAACTCTCGGAGGGAACCATAGTAAAAAGTCTCTTATAAAAAGTAACTTGCTATACCATGAATTTGGTTTACTGTGATGTCTGGTATCTCTCAACCTAATGACAAAAGCTTAGAAGGACGAAAGTGAATTTCTGTGATCCTCCCTGGACAAAGGCATTATTCTCTAACGTCTCAGCACTCTTCCAGGTGAGAAGCAGGCCTGCTTTCGGGAACTGCAAAAGAACGGTCACAAAAGGTGAATTTACAAAAACAAAACAACAACAAAAAAAACCACAGTTTATTTATCTTTCAGTTCTTCCAAAATTGAAAATATCAAGTCCTACTGCTAAGGAGAAAAAAAACAAACAAACAAACAAAATCCGAGACCCCTCCCCTCTTAAAGTCACAGAACACAGAAGGAACTGCAGTGGGACAGGTGGGTGCAGAGAACCAGGAGGGGGAGGATGGCGAGATAAACTCCCCAAATACTTAAAAAGCTGTTCAACAGAAACTGTGATAAATACAGGACAATGCAAGACAAGTAAAAATAAGGAGCAGCAGTGATGAGAGGCTGTGTTGTAGACGTGGCCTCCCTTCCTCTTCTCTTTTCTCATCAGGGTATTCTAGGCCCCAGGCATGGCCTGCCCCTTCCAGATCTAAATGTTGATTCCTCTGAGCCTCCTTTCTAGGTTTCACTAGAAGCAGTGCGTGAGGCACAACCATTCTTCCTCAGATACATCAAAAAGAAACAGTGGTAATTTTGCTTCTCCCATGGTACCATGTGTGAATCTGTGAGGAGGACGAAACCGAGCCAGGGAGTGCCACTGCTTCTCAGGTCGTCCGAGGCAGCCGAGAGAGCTCTATCTGCGGGAGGCGAAAAAGCAGGACGACTCAGACGGACGTACCAGCCCGCTCTGCCTCACTAGCTCAGGCTGGGTGGTTTATCACAACTACTGGCAAATTCCAAGAACCTTTTCTTGAGTACTGCAAAGATGGGACGTAAAGAGAGGTGAGGAAGGTCATGGCAGCAGGGTAGGATGGAGGCTCGGATCTGCTGGTCAAGAACCATGGTACAGGTAGTTAGGGGTCACCTCGTACCAGTGTCTTGGAAATCCAGCTTTGCGACATCAGAGAATCAGATGTCAGAAGCCATCGATGTCCTGGCAGAAGGTGGCGGGAAGAGAGGAATGAAACGGTACTTAGTAACAGCGGAAGCCTCTGCCCTTCTTCAAGAACACCTCCTCCCTCGCCATCTGGATGGGGCCACTGGCACGTGTCCTGGTGGGCCTGGAATTCCCCGAGTAGATTGGTCCACACAAATGGCCCCCTAAACCCATAAACACAAATGGCAAAACTTCAAAAGGAAAAAAAAAGGAAAAATACAGTTTCTATGTCATGTAAAATTTGTAGGGGTTGGCTGGATAAAGAACGGAGCTGAGGACCAAAGTTCTGAAGTTACTTCCTCTTTTTCTTGGGGGGTGCAGAGCTGTGTCTGGAACCACGGTTAGAGCCACGGCCTGAACTGTGCACAGATGCCTTCCTCTTCCGGCTCATACTTCGACTCTGTTCTTCTTCTTCCTCGTAACGACTTTCACGGTCCGCTAAATAGGGGAGAGGGGCACTACTGGTTAGCGGCGGGTTCGCTCTGATACCTAAGAGTACGTGACGGCATGCGCTACTCGGGTGTGTACTCGGCGTCAGACTTCGGTTTGAATCTGTTAATCTCCGTCGCTTCTTGGTTGTGTGATTGATTTTGGGCAAGTACTTAATCTTTCTGAGCCTTGGTTTATGTATTCACACGACGGAAAATTGTTTTACGATTAAATGAGGTCATCTATGCAAGGTACCTATCCCAATGCTCGGGACCCAGTAGATGATGAAATTTCCCTTTCACCTTTTAACTTGTATCTGGCATCTGGTTTCAGAGTAATTAAACTAGGATTTATAAAAACAATCCTAACCCAGAAGAGGTCCAGAAAATTAGACTATTATAGGACACATTTGGAAACTGGCCTAATTCTGGAGCCTTCCAAGACTATGTGGCTACCCCAGGAAGAAAGCATCGGTTAGACAGAGTCACGCCACTTGGAAGAGTGTGGACGCATTCTAGAGCTTCTCTGCTCCTCTGATGAAGTTGTAGCTGTAACTCCACATGAGTTTTACAGTGTTCTTTTGCTATTCGTTATTAGGCAAATAGCAGCTCAAAATACTAAAATCTGCTAGAAATCTGTGCCTCAAAAATAAACAACAAACAATAAAAAATTTACCTTTTCGGGCTTCTTCCTCCAGTTCATCCCAATCCTTTCCACTCTCTTCTTCACTGCCCAGTGATTCCTTGGAATAGTCTAAAATAAAATTAAGCATTAGTCTTCAGACAGGAATGAAATGCCAGAATTCTTCCCTCCTTTATGAGTTTCCAGAAATGACATTAGATGAGAAAGCCATGAAAAATTTTCCCTATAAAGACTAACCTGATTCTTCGGCTTCTGATGAATAATCTTCATCACTATCCTCCTCCTCCTCTTCATAGTCATCCTCTGAAGGATTAAAAGTCTCATCTTCGATTTCAGACTCTGAATCCCCTTCCTCAGCATCACTGCCCTGGTGAGTCAGCATAATACTATTTACTGGGTTCTTTTTTTTTGACATTCACTTGATTAATGAATTAATTCAACCCATTTAGCACACCAGCATTATTTTTTTTTTTTACATGAAAAAAATAAAACCCAAAACCCCCGAGCAACCGAAAGATAAAAGGGCTAATTTAAAATTGCTAGTTAAGTGCAATTACTAGATAAATATCTAATTCGTATTTCTTTAAGATTCACTTCACCCTTCCTTACCCAGGAAAATTAACCACAGAAACACTCTTGGTAATAATGCATTATGCAGAGGTGGAAGAACCACTTCTTAGAAAACAATTTTTGCAAAACGCCCTAAAGTTACACCTGAAACTGATATGCTGTATGTTAAATATACTTCAGGTAATAATAGTAAGAAGTAAAAATGCCCTGAAGAATTTTTTCCCAATACTAAGAACAATTCTGCAATTTCAAAGAAATCTGAGTGGCTACCAGTCCCCAATTTATCATCTACCTGTAAAACTAACCTGGAGAAACAATACAGTAATAAGACCAAGCTCCCACTCGGTCTGCTCCCTTCTGTGCTACTTACATGGCATTTCCTAGCCGCCCAAATGGTAATGGGCACCACCATGTACCAGAAAAGAAACCCCACACTCACGCACCTCACCCTCAGGCTCTAGGAAAGACCAGCCACCTTGTTCGAAGAAGCCCTCGGGGTCATCGACAATGGTCTTCATGATTTTAGTCCAGTTGAGGGACTGCACTCCTTCTGTGTACTTTAGGTCACAGGAACTGAAAGACAGGACATTGTGAAGTCAAAATCAATTCTCTGTATTTTCTGAGAACGCACCTTGTCATCTTGCTCATAAACATCTCTGAAGGTAGATAACCTTTTCCTCAATATAGGAGAGCAGATTTTCTTTGCACTATGCCACCAGAATAGACCCAAATGGCTGATAGCTGGTCTCCCAGACACCAGCCCTCACGACGCGCAGCATTCCAAATAAAGCAACTTTGTCTCTTGAACAAAGCTCATCATCTTTTTGTTTGCCATTTTCTTTCTTAAGCACCAACTTCCCTGTTCCTCCTTTAGCCTTTTCTCCTCCTCACCTATGCCTTCCCCTCCCCGACTCACTCTTATTTGCACGTAGTTTCAACTTCTAACCATTTCTAGGATTCTTACTTTTCAGCTCTGATCATTCACACCACTGCAGTTCAGAAACAGCAACTGGCCCTAGCTTTCCCTCCCCAATCTTCCACTGCTTTCTTATGTATTGCTTATTTGATGCAGGATCTATTTGAAGGTAGGGATAAGTTTTCTGTTTGTTTAGTACCGAAAGTACCCTGTATCAAAATGTTCAAATGACTTTATTTACTTCTGTTGAGGAGAGCTCAATCAACTCAAGTGGGCGGGAAGGAAGAGAAAAGGAAACCAAAGACATGACAATAGTGAGGATCACAAGAAACCTTCGGCACAAAACCTATCTGGGAACCGCTGCCCTAAGTCCGTCACCGGCACTGCATCATACACACTGTGACTTGCGCTTCTAGCCATGGTGGAGTAACGAGGACTAGATTTACCTTTTCACTTTTAAACAACTAGAAAACCAAACGAGATATGAAACGGCTTTCAAACACTGGCTAAAAAGCAGCACAGGACTATAATCCCCTAAAGGAGGAAACATACAGGGTTCTGTTTTAGAACTACCCAAGTTTTCTGCCTGGAGGCGGCTCCCAGGCTGCTATGCAGGGAAGGGGAACCCAATCAGAACCTGAGAGAGAGAAGGATTTGTGGAGGCTAAGACAGCCAGAATTTTGAGGCAGGAGTACTGGAGGAGAGAGTGACAGAAAAAGCTCTGGAAATGTGCAGAGGGATCCCCTTCAATCTTTGGCCGAGAGCATATCTCCAACATGCATGAGAGGAAGCTAAGTAGAGCTGGGCAAAGCAGCAGGCCAGATAACTCCCAAATCTCACACTGAGCTGGAAATAGTTCCTGCTGTACCAGCTTCAGGGGAAAAACCTTATTAATACACAGTGAATCCGAGCCCTCGAAAGAGTACTGCCTCAGCAATGGGGTAAATTGGTCCTAGACCAAAAAGCTGTTCTGAACCAGCACTAGTGACATCTGAGAACAAGTTCTGAAAGATCAAGTGGTATCCAAATCACTCAACTACACCTAGAACGAAATCTAGAAAAAGTTTTAAAAACCTAGCACACAAAAATGTGTACTAACTCTGTTTGGCAGTTGATCACAAATTACCAGACACGCAAACAAGCAGAAGAAAAATCAACCAATAGCAACAGACCCAGAAAATACAAAGATGGTGGATGGAAGTATCAGATAATGATATTTAAGAAGTTATTATAAATGAAGAGAGAAACCTGAAGATGCTGAGAAGTGAAGAAATAGGTGTCTCAGAAAAAAAAAGGGGGGGTACTGAGCAAAAATATTTGAAGAATAATGGCCCCCTGCTTGTCCTCTCTCTCAGAAAGAAAAAAAAAG